TCTTCCTTTTGAATGAGAGAGAAGTCGAGATTTCTCCCAACACTCTGTTACTTACTTTTCCATAAGTAGGTGTTGTATAAATCATTATCTAGAGCCCTAATAATTTCCAGTCCAGACCTCTTCCCTGAGCTCCAGACCCTGTCCTCCTGGCTGCTGGGATCACCCATTGGAGATCTTAAACAGAATGTCCCACACAAACACTTCAGATGCATTTTGTCCTAAATAGAAATAATTACTACCTTTATAAACCTCATTTCTCTGTATGCCTATAATCCCAACATTCAGAAAGCTGAGGCTGGAGGATTACAAGCTTGAGGCCAGCCTGAGCTACATGGCAAAACCCTGTATCAAAAACACAAAATAAAAATCCTCATTTCTCCATGCACATTCCCTAACGGCCCAATACTACCATCCAACCAAAAACCTGGGAGATGCTCTGAGCTCCACCATCCCAGCCAAGTCGTCAGTAAGTCCTCTCCTTTGTATCTCTTAAGAAGCATCTCTTCATCCTCAACTGCCACTGACTAACCTTGGGTCCTCATTACAGTGATTTTCTAACTGGTCTTTGTGTTAGGGCGGGGAAATAGACTCTGAGTTTCTCAGATTCACATGCTAGAAGGTTACTGGAGAGTGCTGTAGAGAGAGCCTCCTGTGGAGGAAGTAAGACACATCCTACAGATGCTCTGGAACCAGAGGGCCCTTTAGACTTGTCCTAACTTGATGCAAGGGATTGGGAGGGGACCTTCAACCACTAAATTCCTCTCTTGTCCACCTTCACCATCCATCCCCCCCATCTCTACTCCTCCTAACCCCCAGCAGCTGTGAGAAGCCCCCACCTCACCCCAAGGTGGCATAAGCTTTGACCTAGTGGAATTCCCAGAGTAGAACTCAGCTGAGAGCCAACAATCACCAGCTCTTCCAGCTGCTACGGTGTGAGTGCCTCAGTCCTGAATGGGAGCAGGGTGACAGACCACAACTCCCTCTGCATTGTTCCTGTCCCTAATCTTGTTGATTTTCAGTTCACCACCTGAGGGGTGTCTCTGACCCCAAATTTAATCATACTACACCCTTGCTTTAAAAAATCTTCCAATAATCCCTCCTTCCCCACAAGATAATTCAAATCTGATCTGTCCACCACAAAGGCTCATCTCCCAACCACCCTTCTCCTCACCACACTCTGGTGCTGTGAGGGTCAGTCTGCCATTGCTTCTTGGTGACTCTCAAATGCTACTCATCTGCTGGGGATGGGGACCACCTCTCTTACCAGCAAACCTGTTTATCCTTTGGGTTCATCTTAAGTACCTCCTCTGCACACCTATAATCCCAGCACTTACAAAGCTGAGGCAGGAGGATTATGAGTTTCAACCAGCCTAGACTTCATAGTGAGACCCTGTCACAAAAAAAAAAAAGAAAGAAAACTATAACAATAGCAACATCACCAATGGCAACCTCAAATAGATGTGATATCCTGCATATGCTTTCATGACCACTAGAAAAATGTCCTTGAGAACCAGGTCTGGGTTATATTCATTTTGAATGTGAGTAAATGAACCCATCATTTAACCCAAACTAACTGGAGTTGATTTCAGTCTAGTTGGTTGTTTTAGGCATTTAATTTAGCTGCCTAATGAGGGCTGTAGGCCTGCAAGGGAAGGAATTCTATTTAAAGAAGCCCATTTGGTTCAGGATGTACAGCTCAGTGCTGTGAGGGAACTGGGCATTTCATAACTGTTTCCTGTTCTGTTGATGATCTCCCATACAGTGAGCAAGAGGTCTCACCAGTGACTATGGGATATTTTATGAAAGGTACTGTTAACACCTGACCTGCCCCCAAATCTCTCTGTTATGACTGAGCTCTCTCTCCCCTCATGTTCATTTTTAAATTCTTACTCATATTTATTAATGGTTAGATCATTGACCCTTTTTTATTTTTTGAGACAGAGTCTTGCTATGTAGCCCAGGCTAGATCTGAACTCATTTTGAGTGCTTGGATTATGGACTTGTACCATATGCCCAGCAGACCACTGTTCTTTTAAAGTGGGAAATGCAGCTCTTGCCTATCAAGTGCAAGCCCTGAGTTCCAACCCCAGGACTGCCCCCCCAAAATAAACAAAATATAATAAAATATAATAAAATAAATATAATATAATAAAATACAATAAAGTGAATGTACTTCCAGAGCCTAGGCAACTGATACATATGTAAAGAGAATTTCCATTTCTACGTATTTTTATGTTGCTCCTTAACATTGTCTACATTTTGTGTATATGTTATAATTTATAGAATACAGTAGTAAAGTAAACATATATATTATTTATAAATAAATAATAGAAAGAATATATACTATAGTAACCCATATATATAATTTGTATATAAATAATAAAAGAATGTGTATATACTTACACATGTATATATACATATATATGTGTGTGTATATATACATATACTCAAAACATTTTTAGGTGCTGGAGATGGAACTCAGGGCCCTGCACAAGTTAAACATGTGCTGTACCACTAAGCTGCTTCTCCAGCCTCCAAAACATTTTTTTACTGAGTAAGACATTGTATTTGCATGGTTCTTGTTCATTTGGTTTTGGCAATACTGGGGTTTGAACTCAGGGCTTTGAGCTTGCAAGGCAGGCACTTTACCGTTTGAGCCATATCTACATCCCTTATTGCTCTTGTTGTTTTGGAGATAGGGTCTCACTTTTGCCTAGGCTAGCCTGAGCTATGATCCTCCTATTTATGCTTTCCAGAGTAGCTGGGATGATAGGTGTGAACCACCATACACAACCAGCTATTGGTTGAGATGGGTCTCAAGAACTATTTTGCCTGAGCTGGCTTAGAACCACAATCCTCCTAATCTCAGCCTCCCAAGTAGCTGGGATTATAGATGTGAGCCACCGGTATTCAGACACATGTTTTTTGTTGTTGTTTTATTTTGTTTTGTTTTAACTGGACACCCTCTGATTGGACTCCAAAGGCTTCTTTAGCTTTCACCTATTAGCTTTTCAGCTGATCTGTTGCTGAGCTAATTGGCACTAATGGGCACCTAAATTTATGTGGGAACTCTGAAATCCAGGATCTGGAGTAGCTGGGGCAGGCGGGAGAGCAGGTCACCTGGAGAAAGCAGAGAGGCTGAATCTAGCCAGAACCACTGAACCATCTCTTAAGCAATCGAGAGCCTGGACCTCAGAAGATGCAATGGAGCAGAAGCAACAGGCAAGCCACCACCTGGAGGGAGCAGACAGGACAGAGTGGCCAGCCATCGCTACCTCCACCAGGAAGCACACTCCATTCACTTGTCACTGTGGTTGGGGTCGGAGGTGATCTGAAGATGGCAGCCAGAGTGCCCACACAGGGGGCCAAGAGGCACCTCTGGCATAGGAGCCTTGCCTTAAAGCTGCCTTAGTGTAACTAGAGCACTGTTTCTACCTAGGTTGCATGGTTAGGGGTTGATTGGTGATGGAGATGGGGAACAGGGAAGGACAGTGTCAGTAATGTGGTCCTTATGAGCCACATTGTGTTGGAAAGTAGAGTAGAACAAGTAAGATGAGAAAAGATGCTCATCCAGCACCCATCCATGGGGGACCAAGGGCCACAGGCGCATGGTGGACCAGAATACCTCTAGCAGACAAGAAGCAGCTTCATGATATAGGACCACAAAGGCATGGGCAAGGAATGGGTCTCCCGTTGGGGGACCAAGTAAACTAGAGGGGATCTCCAGGAGCAAGACATACACAGGAGCAAAACGAAGATGTAGAGAGAACCCCAAAGGTAAACATAGCTAACTTGACAGGTTTAGCCTTGATGCAAGGAAGAGGCATTCCCACTTCCCCAATTCTTGGTTCCACTCAGAACAGTAGAGGACTGTTGGGTTTTTTGTTTGTTTGTTTTTGTTGCTTGTTTGTTTTGGGAGTTTTTTGGCAGAACTTGAATTTGAACTCAGTGTCTCACACTTGCTAGGCAGATGCTCTACTGCTGAATCACGCCCCTAGTCCTTTTTTGCTTTAGTTTATTGTTCACATAGAGTCTCACGTATTTGCCCAGAGCCAGCCGCAGACAGTATTCCTCCTACCGCCACCTCTTAGGTACATAAAATTACAATTGTATGCCACCATGTCTAGCCCCATTGTTTCCTTATGTTCAGAATTTCCTGGAATCCAAAAAATACCAGCAAGGAAACAAATGCAGTTCCTTTTTTATTACATTTCTGGACAATGCCCCTCCTTTTTTGGTGGGGTTTGAACTCTGGGCTTCACATTTGCAAAGTAGGTTCTCTCCCACTTGAGCCACACCTCCAGTCCATTTTGCTCCGGTTCTTTTGAAGATGGAGTCTTGCAAATTATTTGCTTGGGCTGGCCTTGACCTGTGAGCCTTCTGATTTCAGCCTCCCACGTACCTAGAATTAACAGGTGTGAGCTGCTGGCTCCCTGCCTCAAGTTAGATTCTTAATACTGTCCCAGGCTGGGGTTGTGGCTTAAGTGGTAGAGCACCTGCCTAGTAAGCACATGGCCCAAAGTTCAAACCCCAGTTCCATCAAAAAATAAAAAATAAAAATAATACTGTCCCAGCAGCAGGCTGTGGTTTACTGAGGCCACAACCCCTTCTATTAACAACGTTGTGCTTGTAAACCACTTCCGCTAGCATGACCCCAGCAAGATAAGCGTCTTTATATTCATTTTTCACATGGAGAAGTAAAAGTTCAAAGTGACCAGTTCATTTAGTCAGAGGCTTACATTCTACAGTTAAGGAGACTGAGGCCCAGATGGTTAATTGACTTACTTAAGACAATGAGCAGGTATCGGTCACATAGAACCCCACCCTTGTTCCAGTTCTCTTGCCTTTTGTCACTTCACTCCCAGCCCCAATGGTGCTCCAGACAGAGATCAGCCAACAAAAAGCAGGCTCTGAGGAATGACTAACAAATGCTATTGGCCCTGCCTTCCTCGTAGATCCGTCAGGGAATTTGTTCTAATGTCTTCTGTGTTTCTTTGCAGCATGTAAAAGGAAAGAGCAAGAACACGGGAAAGAGAGAGGCAACACACCCAAAAAGCCCAGGTTAGTCTTCACAGACGTCCAGCGTCGAACTCTCCATGCAATATTCAAGGAAAACAAGCGTCCATCCAAAGAATTGCAAATCACCATTTCCCAGCAGCTGGGGTTGGAGCTGAGCACCGTCAGCAACTTCTTCATGAATGCAAGGAGGAGAAGTCTGGACAAATGGCAGGACGAGGGCAGCTCCAATTCAGGCAACTCATCTTCTTCATCAAGCACTTGTACCAAAGCATGAAGGAAGAACCACAAACTAAAACCTCGGTGGAAAAGCTTTAAATAAAAAATAAAAAAAAATTTAAGACCAGGACCTCAAGATAGCAGGTTTATACTTAGAAATATTTGAAGAAAAAAGTGATATTTATAGTCCAAAGAAACCAAAGACTTAAGCTCACCTGCATTCTGACTTTGTTCTGAGACCCACTCTTCAGCAGGGCAACAACTTGGCAAAAAGAATTAGGAGCGGGAAACCCACTGGATCTCACATCTTCAATCTGCGATCATTCTTGCTGTGCTTGGCTGGTTAGCGGCTTGGAGCACAGTGATTTTGAACCATCGAGTGGACATCTTTTAAGATCAAACTTTCTCACCTGTTCCACCACACCATAAAGGTGTATGGTGTCTCAGTACCACGTGTGAGTGCATGTGCATGTGTACACACACACACGTGCACACGTGCACACACACACACACACACACACCGCCAGTGGTTAGGGACTTAGGCAGGGCTGGTCTTCAGGAAGGGTTGTGCTATAGGAGTACGACCAACATGGCGTGGGGTTGTCTAAATTTGTTGGATTAGGAGTGTGATTTTGCTCGTCTAGCCTAGAGTTTGAACCTGCCAGGCCAGCAACCTAAATGCAGATTCAAACCCAGCAAAGAAAATTTGAATGACACCTAAACCAGTGCATTCTCTTTGTTTGTTAAGGAATGTTCAGATATTTTTTAAGAAATGACACAAGAGCCCATCCATTTAAAAAAAATCACCTAGGTACCAAAGAACACACTTAATATTATAGTGCAGGTATTTTATTGCAATGATTTTAATAACCAAAGCTATTTTTACACAAGATACTATGTAAAGTTATACGTATGAACTGATCTAGCTGTAATACACATGCCACATAGATCCATGACTATTATTTATGACTTTTGGAGCATTTGAAATATGAGTTTTCAGAACTGGCAAGAAAGAATGTAGCTTCAGGGAAGCAATTAATATCATGGCAAAGAGGTCGATACAAGACAAATGCACAGATACACATGTTTAGATGCACACACCTTTTCAGGATTCATAAATGTCACTTACATCAAGAAATAGACATGATGCATAATCTGTTCATAGCTGAGAAAATCTGGGGATCCTTCCAAAGTAGGACCCCACTAGTACACTAGAAAACTAAGTCTAACAGGGCAGGGAACTAAATTAGAATATTTGTTTAAAGTGATATTTTTAAATAAAAGACCACCCAATAAAGAACTTAGGTTAATTTTGGCTTAAATTCATTTTATGCATTTGGTACTAAATACCTTTTTAAAACACTTTGCAAAATGACCAAACCAACATTATTATTAAAATTCATTGTTCCATATTTTATAGCCATCCTAAAAAGTAATCAATTGATTTTTACTGCCAATCCTAGACATTTTTGAGTTGGCCGTCAATCAAACAGCAGGTGCTACTGGAAAATGGTAGAATTGGTGAAACTGTATAGGGAAAACCAGAGTTCTAGTGAAACGCAGGACTTTCTGATCCATTGGTATTAAGCGATTTATTTCACTAAGAATGCCCTCCAAATTATACTACATTCTTTCTTGCTATTGCATGAAGCTGGAACTTTTATAACATGTAATCCCCTCTCTAACAGGGACAGATAAGAAAAACTAGACCTGGACTTCCAAAACAAAATTTTAAATCTCTATTTTCCCAAATCACTTAACTGGGGCTGTATAAATCAAGAAAAAAATAATAAAACACTAATTACATCCCAGTGACTCGCTTGATTCCCACAAGCATCTTTTTCAATTCAATTGGGTTGCAATTTAGGCAAATGGTGCCTGCTGTACCATTCAGTAAAGAATTAGATACTCTTAATTATTACCACACCTAACTAAAACTAGAAAACTAAAAGTTATCCTGATAATAAACTGTTTATTAGATTCACTAAAATGCCAAAGGAAAAACGAAAATCAATCTTGCACAAAACCTAACTCCTTAGAATCAAATCTCAGCATCTTAAATTGGGCTAGAATTGGCAGGCACCAAGAGAGGTGAAGCTAAACCAAGCTATCTGTCCATCTGTCCGCCATGTCTCCTGTAGATTGAGAAAGGGAAACCAACAGATACCTCTCCTTCAATGAAACACTACATTCACCTTGACATACTTTGTCTTAGTACTTTTTAAAATTTTATCCAGAATTTCAGCTTAAAGTTTTTCCCTTCTAAATATGGCACAATTATAGTCCAGCTATTAAGAGACAGTTTAAATGGCCACCTTGTAAGATGTGCTAAATATAATCTTATCAATGACATAAACAAAAAGGAAAGAATGGTTAACATTTTCTCTCTCTCCACAAGTGGAGGGTGTTGGGTATAATGTATTTGTAATTTAGGAGGGGGGAAAGCCTTACTTATTTAAAAGAAGAGGATTTAAAATGCAGGGAAATTCAAGCTGTGTCTACACACAATCTTACCAAATTTCAATTCTCTAGGAAAGACAAAAATTAAATTTAGATGACCACATTTTTTTGCTTTGTTTTTACTGTATTACCTCCCCCCCAAAAAAATAAACCAATACATTCTGTATTTTCAATCAATTATTTTGATTCTGTGTAGGCACAGTCTCAAAGACTCTTACTACATTTTAAATATATCCCACTGTAAGGGTTTCTTTGAAAAATAACCAGTTATCCTACTTGCTAACACCAAAGATGGTTTTCATACCAGCAATGAATTTGACTCCATTATGCAATTTCAGGGCCTAGAAATGTATTTTCTCATAAACAGATGCACAAATCAGAGCCTGAAACGCAATTTTTTTACTTGACTATTTAATCATACTCATGACCTTTGCTTTTTAGAGACCTAATGGATAAGCTCAGTCTCTCACAAGCAATCCACTTATCACATCATGTATGACTGATTCTCTGTTTGCTTCTAAACTGGCACGTTTATGTAGCATTGACTCATGGTCCTGTTTTGTGACCTACCACATTCAACAGAGCAGATCATGTGTCATTTGTTCACTCATTATTTCTCAATCCTGTAGCAAAAATTCCCTAAAACATTATCTTTTTCATCTGCATACTTTTCGTGTTAATTACAAAACTGCACTTCAAACAATACCTTTTTCTGTTTTTTGGGGGGTTTTTTTGTTTGTTTTTGGTAGAATGGAAGTTAGTCTCGTTTTGGTCATAAATCATTCAAGTCCTCTCATACCTGGAAATTTTCCTGAAAGAGGACCAGGAGGTATGAAGTCTGGATGCTCCAAAAGCCCACACTTCAGTTAGTGTTCAGATAAAAGAGTTCTGGATGTCAGGAAATGAGGATTCCAGTCCCTGGATGCACCTGGAATAGACTCCAAAGACCAAAGAAAATGTGTGGGGAACAGACGTTCTAACTGAACATGTCACTTATTGTGTCCTCCCTAAAAACCTAATTATTTTTCCAGGACAATATAAAAGCACTATGAGACATTTGGATTCATTCCACCCCATCACAACCCCAGGTGAACACCCCAACTTTGCAGGTTAAATGCAAACTTTTGCTATACCAAAGAGTCCTATATAAAGGCATTTTCCCTAAGAAAGATCTTCCCTTCTTTGTACATAAAGGATGAAAAACTATGCATTTAGCAAACAAAGAGAAAGCACTTCTCCTTTTTCTATCTAGTTGTTTAGGGTGCATTCAAATCCCAAAGGCTGTTTTGAAATGCATTGGCCTTCTGGCTTATTGTGGTGTGGTTAGCTTTACACTACATTTGGTAACTACTTCCTGAATAGTAAGGACAAAGAAGCAGAAGGTAAAAAATAGCTACTTCCACGTGTAAAAAATATATATTAAAAAAAAAAAGAAAAAAAAAGGAAAAAAAAAAAAAGAAAAAAACCAAAAGAAAAAAGTGTAAAGATCTACTATTTCTAGTGTGAACCAAAGACGCTACCTCACTCGATTTCCATTGGTGATCTTAATCACATTGATGATACCAAAGATACTTTCATGCACGGCCTTGGTCTGCAGAGGGAACTCCACCCTTTCCTTGCCCCTCCTCCCCCTCCTCACTCCTCCGTGTGTAAACTTGTCTTCATTCTTAACAATGATACGATAATGACGACAACATTAGCAAATACTACTCTTATTACTGCTAGTTCTTCTTGTAATTCTTTAGGCAAACATGTTGCGAACTTTGTAAACTCCTAGGATGAGTGCCTTGCTTGAACCAAAGTGTTAAACCGCTGTTAACCTCTCTCACCTTATACTCTTTGAATACCTCAGCCTCTTAGAAAGGCCACTAATGAAAAAAAAAAAAAAAAGGAATAATTATTCACCGTGGTGCTTTTTCCGTGCAACCATGCAATGAAACTTTCTTTGATACCAAAGGATACTTTTCCCCCCAATTTCTTGCTGATAAACCAAAGCTCCTCCTCCTTGCTCCTTCTCAAGGTCCTCCCCACTTTACTGGGTCCCTTCCCCAGGCAGGCCGTGCAACACTTTTACCAATTTCTCCAAATACCTCATAGTAATAAAGTTTTAGGGTTATGTTCTATAGAGAGTCTATGTGATAAGGCAGAACTTACTAGTTTGATAATTGTTAAGGTTACTTTGGAAAAAAAACTTTATAATTCTTATTTATTTTGTAGTTTGTATGTTGGGATGTTCCCTCCCCTCCCTCTTTGGTTTGGGGTTTATTTTCTTGGCAGAACTGCTCTGTTGCTCAAGGAAGACTTAATTTCTGGAAATTTTCCCCAGGTGGGTTAAGGGTTGTGTAGAAACGCAAGAATGGATTAAGAAATATTTTCATTTTGAGGGTTACTTATGAAGGTTTTGTGTTTCATAAAAAATTTGTTTCCACAGGGTAAAAAAAAATATATATATATCTATATATATCTATAATCTCTTTTTTGTGAAACTGGTTCCTATTTTTCTCTATAATGTGCTGTGATTTTTTTTAATTTAATTACATTTTATATGAGCTTATTTAATCACTGTTTTAATTTATGACTGTGTAGTTTTTTAAAATGTATATAGTAGAATCGAAATGGCCAAAGCTTTATGTTACAATCTTTTT